ATTGATGCTTGTCATCGTATCATAGGTACGCAGAACGATGGTCATGTTGTTAATCACTGCATTGTATGGTTCAGACTTGTTGAATTACACACCACCGTCATAAACTGGAATATTGCCGAGTCCAGCGTTAAATATCAAACAAGGATAGTTAGCTAAATATAAATAATACATGAATATCAAATAATGGGAACGTTTGTTTAAAATACCGATACGGTAGGAACTATACTGGACAAAATAAGTTAGGGATATTGGTATTTTTATGATTGATAGTTTATCAGTGTGTCGATGAATAAATAGATCATTATTCATAATTTCAAAATTTACATGTATCCCTAACTATTTTTGTCCAGTATAATTTCCTGAGGGAAAAAACCGGACACTTTGTCCTTTGGATGAACGCGTAAAGGGAATGTAGCCTTTTAATTATAACAAGAGAACTGTGAGCCGGTGGTATGTTAGTGGTGCAATGAGAAAGGTCTCCTTTATCTGGTCGGATACAGACGGAAATGGAGATGTCTGTACCAGGACAGGGTAACGAACACCCAGCCACCCCATTAATGACATTGCTAGTCCCCGTGTTGGTAAATAATACTTAACCGACATGTAAACAAACTCAGCGGCAGGCAGCACCACAACGCGTTTGAACCAGGGTGGTGAACCCACTGACAGACCGCGGTAGTGCAGATATACACACCTTTTTCTCGCTACTGAGAATATGTCCAAACTTGGGATGCTTTTTTCCGTTCGTGTATAATTATACACGCAAACACACCCCCCACCTATGCATAATTGAAAGTGAGTAAATTGGATATAACGGTGATTATAACTCTATTTCAGTTATATCACGATGAAATGAGGTGACGTACATTTACCCCTCTTGCCTCCATTTAGAATACAGGTATTACTAGAAATGGTACATGGTCCACGTCAAAATATTTGGGTGAACTCTATTATTCTAGTGTAACGCGACTACAAACTCAGCTTGGAACATGTGATATACTTTACACAGACAAAATAATAATGTTGCTGTTCCATTTCCACGGGAGAGGTTAGGTAGCCTAGTGGTTAACGCTTTTCTCTACACATGAAAGCTTGGGTTCGAATCCTACATGGGTGCGATGTGTACACTCCCATTAAAATCAGATCTTTGTCATCAGGTACGAAACCTTTAAAATACGACATCTATTCAATAGATTTAAGACTGCAAGTCAATACTTAAAGACTGAAAACGTACGACTGTTGTAAGATGTTTTGTTGATTTGGGTGTCTGTCAAACCGGACATTCCGAATTGGTTGGTTGACTGGTTTTGTCTGCTTCAATTGTTATAAGGTTCGTTGACATATGAGAGAAAAAACTGATTGTCTTGTTATTTAATATATTTTTGTTGGTTACAGTCAGACGCTTAGACTGCCCACGAAGACAGTGGTCCGGATCGGACTGGTCAACTTATCTGCAAATCAACCTTCACAAACTGAATTGACTGAATAAAATACTCAAGTTCTAAACATGCGTCGTACTTCTTGAAGGGCCGAGATCATCTATACTATTCACACTTTGCTAAGGATCAAATCACGGATTCAACAGAAAACTATGATGTAGGGTCAAATTTGGTTTAAATATCTAAGCTTATTGTAAGCATGGATCCTGGGTTTCAGTATGTCATTTCATCTTGTGGAACCTATACCTGCTTGTTCCATGATTTGCAAAATGGCTGACTGGTGCCATGAAAACCATTTTCATGGTTACTCATGTATCAGGTGCATAAAGTTAGATTAAAGTAACTGTTTGCCTAAAGTGGGGTTACCATATTATAATTTATCCTGTTTGAAATGGATACGATTTAAAATTATGAATCCAGAGTTTGAGTAAAGTTGTGAATTTTTGTGATCTTAGCAAAGTGTGAGTAGTATATATTAGCCCGTGTAAAGTCCGGACCAGACACACGGCAGACGATCACGTTCATCCAGGTTACAGATTTTGACGTGACTCGTTAGTTCTTTAATAAAAAGGATGTTGAAAACCTCGTTTGCACCGGAAGCACTTCGCACATATTGATGCAACGCGTATAGATGCGCAATCTAAATAAAGAATTCAATCTCTTTCTGTGAGATCGGGACACTTGTTCTCAGAAGTTGATCTCCAACAGTAAAGGTATAACCACGTTTGACGGACCAATGTCCATTTTCCTGCGTTAAAGAGTTATCTGGACTGACAAGAATGAAATTGTCATCCAGAGTTATATGTACCCGAACATACACACGCCTTACAGTGAGTGACCGGAGTGCGGATACCAGATTAGAATTGCTCCTCAACCACTTATGCCAGTCGTCTTGATGGACACATTATGCATGTGTGATTTGGTTGACAGTATCAGCATATCGTTGAGCAGATTTCTGGAACCGAGTCAGCACCAATTGTGCTTTCATTCCTGCTATCTCTTAATGCATGAGACCCGTGAAGATCTGGGGTAGAATAGGTCTTCAGCAACCCATGCTTACCACAGATGGCGAATATGCTTGTCGTAAGAGGCGACTAACGGGATCGGGTGGTCAGGCTCGCTGACTTGGTTGGCACATGTCATCGGTTCCCAATTGCGCAGATCGATGCTCAGGCTGTTGATCACTGGATTGTCTGGTCCAGACTCGATTATTTACAGACCGCTGCCATATTGCTGAGTGTGGCGTAAAACTAAACTCACTCACTTAATGCATGTATAGGAGGGCGTGGAGTCATCCCACAGATGACGTCATTGCCATGTCAGCTTGCCGACAGGTTGAGCCTATTTGGTCATGTGGACAAAGGCGTCCGACTTTAGATCAGAAGGTCCGAGGTTCGAATCCTAAAACGGGACTCACGACTTCTATGGCCACTACATGCACAATGTCAAAAGAATGCAATAGTAAGAGCCAGTCTTTCGGTTGATAGTCTATTAGGGCTTCTTTGGAACCCTGGAAAACAGAGACCATTATTTTTTCAGCTGATGGAAAGGACTTTGCCCACTTCGCTGGATACATCAGATGAATCAAAAACTCACCCACGGTTTCAATTCAGTTAAAAATAAACACACATCATATGTCTCCACTTCAAAACAGGACAAGGTCTCATGACAGATGAACTTTTGGACAGGGGTCAAGAGCCTTGGTGTCTTTTCTGAGGCATGTAAATGTTCTGTCTTCAATTGTCTGTTGGCTTTGTGATAAAAGTGGGGAGTCATCGATCATCCATAATCATACGGTATTTATCAACGCCCTTCAGAGTGATAGCATTTGAAGGTTGTCCTGATGTTGGATCAGATAAGTGTCTCTCTCTTCCTGCATGGACTTAACTTCTTAACAGTGGCAAAGGAAGGCGCATAATCCTTCTTCATGGATGGCTCTAGAAAGGCGACCTTTTAGTTAGATACTGGAGAAACGGAAACTTATCAGTTTTCACGAACTTAGAATACCTAGTGAGTTTTGTGCCTCGTTGTGTATGTGGTTCAAAATGCAGCATGTAAGCATGAATAGTATTATACAAATGCTAACTGTGAAGGGTACATAATCCTCTAGTGTCCGTTCGTAACTTTTCTGACACCACTCAGTCTCATCAGAAGGCTTGTAATCCTGGTCAGAAAAGGTCCCCAGAATCTTTGTTTGAAAGTGAACTAAAATTGGGACCAGGCAGATTGACTAGGCTGAGAGGGTGTGGTGGGGCATGTTGATGATGTTATCACTCCCCAGCAACTGATTTGCCTGTTTAACCAGTGATTATTTACATGCCTCACTGTCCAGTAAATACCCATACCAGATTCCATAAAGATCTATCTCTTCAATTACCTTGATAGCTGAACCACAAGGTCCCAGACCCCTCCGTGGTGTAGTGGTTAGAGCGGAAGATTCCATAAAGGTCTCGATCCTTGACTGCCACAAGGTCCCAGACCGCCTCCGTGGTGTACCAAAAAGAGGAAGAAGTTAAAATATGGTACTTGTTGCTCCCTGACTGGCGCTCGGCATTAATGGGTACAAAGGACTGGTCGGTTCGGAGTCAGTATAATGTGTCTGAGTGGGGTATTCATGCTTCACTGCGGCATTGTCTCTCAGTGGGCTAGCACTATAAAACCAGCTTAAGTCTGGGCTAGTACAAGCATCCGCACATACACATACACATGCATGCACGTCGTCATATGAGCGAAATATTCTCAAGCATGACGTAAAACCCAATTTCACCTCACCTCACCTCACAAGGTCCCACACATTTATTCACGCTTCGACATAAAAGAACAAATAGAAATGTGTGTTTTTATTTTCATGACATGTTGAGCCATATAGAATACACTTGTACATTATACAGAAGAAGACATTAGTATCATTATGTTCAAATTGTAACAATCAGCATCACAAAGGGAGAGCAAAACAACTAAGGGTGCAGGTACACATACCAATACAGACATGTACTGACGAATACAGGACCACTTAACATACTCAATAAACAGGCAATACATAGCGTGATATCTATCATATTACCAGAAGGGAAGGGTTGTCATCGTTTGGTTTAGTTAGTGTTCACACTAACCTGTCCTAACAACAGATTACAGCAAACCTTATAATGTCAAGATCTATACTGGTATGTACCAAGCATTATGTGTACACTTTACCATGTCTTCACCAACAGGCTTCAAGCATGTTATAGATTGGTTACTTGTTGTACTAATGGCACCTGTGAGGATCACCCAATCCTCAGAAATAAGACAATGATTGGCTTCCCTAATGATTAAAGTGAATTTAAGAACTAGTAGCTGCTCTATGAACACTTATAGTCTCATGATGAAGTCTGCACCAAAGTAACTAAAACAAGGTTATCTCGTGATTTTTTTTTCATGAATCCATTGACCCAAAATGTCTTTCCTGTTTAACTCCTCCAAACACATTTGAGAAACATCAAAACTGTCCAGATTGAAATATAATGGAATGGGCATCATGCCTTGAGTTAGAATTTTAAAAACTTGTACAATATTAAAAACAATTTAAATCTGTTTTTCTTACTAAATTAAGAGATCGATCATGAAAAATAATTTCAATTTATTGTATATTTTGAGCATCAGAATATGAATTATAATGAGTAATAATAAAGAGTCTTTGGATCAGAGACAGTGAACCATTTATACTTATCTTTTCATGAAATATGATATAGCCTCTCCGATACTTAGATGTGAGCTTGTGATTTCAGTCAGTTCTCTGTTTTTGTCGTCTATCTACATAATGACGAACATGAGATAAGAAATAGTCTCATATTTACCAGTTTATAGACGTCTAGACCGCCAACCATGAATTGAGGGTCAAAAGCTGTTCGAGTAAGCAAGGTGTATTTGTCTGTCACAGCCTTCTGGTCGAGAAAACATCTTTAACAGACATTGAGGTGATGTACAGCACACAGTCCACTCAACAGCAAACAAATGGGGACCAGGTGAACTATTGGTAATTGTAATACTTCCATGTCATTCTATACATACATAAAAAATATAGCATCTACGATGAAATATTTGTCCCCTAAGTATATTGTTACTAACATATAATATTACCTTGAGTGTTGAGCTAGCTGTAGTTGTAAAACTGAATGATGTCGGTGACAATTTGAATGTTCAGAAAAGCAAGTCTGTATTTGTGAGACAGATGTTTTGGGGATTTAGAACATGGTCAGTTGTCATTAAAACATGGAATGAAATGATACAAAAATAAACTGAACTATGAACATTGCAAACAAGGGTTGTCCGGACTATGTTGACAAGGAACTGTCTATGGAGCCATATTGATATAGCAAGCCTGAGATTACATTCCTGTCAGTTTAGTCAGTTGAAAAAATATCAGGAAAAAAAAAAGAAGACTAAAAATAACAGAAGAAAGGTTAAAATTTCTACTTTTTCTCAATAGTTATCCCAATATAATGAAATGTTAAAAAAAAAAATTAAACTGGTCATTGTTTTATTTACTTTGCATACAGATTTGGAACTGGTCATCTGTTATAAGGTGCGATGGGCTGGTTGGATTGGTCTTAGGACTGCATCATAGTTTGCAGACCACCTGTCTCAATCCAACCTTTACACACACATGCACACATGCACACACACACATGTTCATATTTACATCAAATTATGTGCTAATAATGTTTACATGTATTATTTTTCTATTTTTGCATGCCCCCATCCCCCATGTAATTGTGATAAATTCTGAAGAATCCCAACCACTCTTTGTGTTGTCACTTTTTCATGACATCTTCTTCATCTCACCTGCCCACTGCCCCAAATAACATGACCAGTCACATTTCTTGTAAAATGATTTTTGAAAGTGATATGTGTGTTGTTGGAAAATGAGGACTAATTTCTTATTTGGCTTGCAGAATACTGAGTAACAGTTGATACATAAAAGCATATATACTTGCCTTTTATGTTGGTACAACAGTAAACTATCTGAGTCGTGTATGAGACAATTAGGAGAAGTTACATAAAACATGATGAAATATAGTGATTATCAATCAGTCTCTTGGTAAATACTATGCTCATGTATATTTCACACACTGAAGCTTTTTAATTATTACTCTAAAATTATATTTAAAAAAAGACATCAAATTTAAAAAAAAAAAGAAATTAGAGAGAAAAGAAGTTCAAACCTGATACAGATTTGAAATGATTCTGATTCAAATTTTGATACTTTGAATACGGTAAATACCGTACACAGATTGGCCAGGAGAATCAAATAATCCTTCATTAAAATATATCTACAGGTTAATGAAATAACTAATCATTCTACAAATTAGATGATACACACAATATTACACTCACAATTACTCAAATAGCACTTGGAACAAGGGATAAAATACATGTAGACATCAAGTTAAACAGACTTAAATGTTTCACCTCATAATGTCATTCCAAGATCAACAACATCCACAACAATCGGCACAAAAATAAACAGACTAACATGGAGATGTATGGGACTCATCTCATATACTTGTATCAACAAACGAGGGGGCCCACATTCAACATATTCTCACTCTGTCCTCATAGCACTCTGGGATGAGGGACGCAACTATGTTGTATAACCTGTCGTCAACAGGTGACTCTTCCACCTACATGCTCGGCAGGAGTGTTGAGGAGGTGCTCCTTAGCCACTCACAGCAACTCATAACTGTTTCATGACCAAAAAATCACTCCTGAAGGCAAATCTTACAACATTGTCATAGCAAGTCTATGCAAACATTCAGATATGGAACATTTGGTAACACAGTCTTATCATACTAAACAGGGTCATATAAACAAAGCAAATGTTTGACAGTCATTGCCTGGAACCTACTTCCTTGTTATTACATGTTAACATGGTTGAGGTAAGGGTAATAGTCCCATATACAGTTGATGTAGTTTTCACCTTGTCTTGTGTGGAATATGAGTACAATGTATTTCAAACATTGTTAAACAATTTAAAAGTTTGAATAATTCTACAGTGCTGAAGAACAGCCAAAAATATCCCAAGGCCCAATCCATAGAGTGATCTTAGCAGTATGACTATCGTAGGCCAACGTTACTGACTGACTGACTGAGTTTAGTTTTACGCCGCTTTTAGCAATATTCCAGCAATATCATGACGGGGAACACCAGAAATGGGCTTCACACATTGTGCCCATGTGGGGAATCGAACCCGGGTCTTCGGCGTGACGAGCCAACGGTTTAACCACTAGGCTACCCCACCGTCCCAGGCCAACGTTAAAGTATGGGAGCTACGATCACCTTAGCTCTAAGACTGCTTTGTGGAATAAGGCCTCGGACGTTTTGTCTCAATGTTGTCTTGAGGAAAACCTGAACACTTTATCAAATTAATTTCCACTACCATCTCCAGAAACACATTACTCAAATGAGTGAATTGAGAGGGACTGCACATACTTGCACAGTCGGTAATAGACTAGAATGTTGTGTCTTGTTCTTGGATCAGGTAAACCAAGGGCCAAAACAGTGAGTGAATATTGTTTTATGTCACAATGAACAATATTCCAGCTATTTCAGAAACTTGCATCTGTTCTAGTCAGGCATTTTAGTGGAAAATAGCAGAAACAGTAATGGCCAAATACTATTACTTCTTATATAACACTGGTGAGACTGAAGCTACAGATCACACAAGATATGTTTGAAGGAAACACAGTGTTGAGGGATGGTGCTGGCTGACCAAGGATCATTATCAGGGGAAATCTGAGATTAAAACCAGTAATCCCATCACAGATGCACAGAAATTCTGTGAATTTCTGCCCCTATGTCCCAGATACTGCAACAATGAGACAAACTAGCCTGAACATTGAAAGACAACAGACCTGCATCTTAACAGAAAGACTGAACCTCCCAAGCTTGTCCTGAAGGAAGACCAGACACGTACAGAGCATCACTGTAATCATATCTGTGGTTCAGCATGTAACACTCCAAAGGTACTTCCTCCTTAGTCTAATGACAGCTTTGGGATGTGGGCAAGGAAAGAGGAATACTGAAGGCAATGGTCTGAATTCTGGTGTCCCCCGCCATGATATTGCTGGAATATTGCTAAAAGTGGCGTAAAACCATACTCACCCACTCACTAGTCTGAAACAGAAGGTAAGAGAGGCCTAAGACTTTTGGTTTAGGATATTAAAATTTGTAATAAGTTCCATCACTTATCTGCCCTTAATGTGTCCTCATACTCTTTGTGGAGAAATGTGTTGCTCTGACATCAGAACCTGTAACTGTGACTGGAAACAATGTACAGTTAATCTCAACAGAAGCTGAAGTAGTAATCTGGGAATTATGCACAAAACAATACAGGAAAATCATTAGTAACAGACATTACTGTTTTAAATAATTTTGCAATCAAGACAGGCTACATAACAGGGTAGAATCATGACATGATAATTTACTTGTGAACATTAATAATACCTGGATGTACAAGACATTAGTATGTACAGAAACACAGTGCATTCAGCTGGGATAGAACTTGTAGACTGTCCGCCTAAAACTACATTGAGTGAGTGGTTAGAAAAAAACATTTCAAAATGCAGGCATTTCCACCTATCTGATGAAACAAGAATTCTTTGTCAATCAGTTTTCACAGTTTCATCAATATGGTTGAGGAGTTTGCAGTATCGTTAGGCAGAGATACCAACCCCAATTTAGCCCAATTAGTATTTTGGCCAAAGACTGATGCAAAAATTAGTATTGTTTTGGCCAAAGTTGGTATTAACATTTCCAAAGAATTTTCATATTTAATAAAAAAGAAGATATTCTAGGACCTTGTTATTAACACTGTACTCACCTAAATCAGTAGTTAATTATCCACATATAGCTTGATACTGAATAAAATGTGGTTGAAATTCATTGTGTATGGTACGTATGTTATTTGATAATTTAAGTTAATATATTTCTAAAACTTTGTACATTTTTACTGCTATCGTATTTTGTGTTGTTTTTCTTCGTAATGAATTTGATAAAATCATATGGGTTGGCATCTCTGAGTTAGGTAATGTTAGTGGGTATCCTAGTGTTCACAACATAATACAGGATATTTTGTAGTTAGTGTCCACAGGATCGTAGGTCTGAAAGGATCATGTTCACTAACCCTTTAAGCAGATAGGCTAACATACCACAGTCAAGTTCTATCCCTGAATAAGTCATTAAATATCAAGTGATGCTCACTGAAATGCACCTAATTATGCCGAAGCTTGCCCTTGTAGCAGAACACAATACTGCCCCTCCACTCTGGGGCCAAAAACAGGGTGAAGCCTGAACAGATCTAGAAACGTAGATCCCACATAGAGTACTACAACATAGGTGTAACACAACTTACTCAAAAAATTAACACTGACTTCAGCCTTAAGATTGAGGAAAGCGTCATAGTCATTCTACAATACTTAAACCACAATCACTTACTGTCTCCGGACCTTGCTGCATTTTCAGAAACAAGTGAGAAATAAACATTCGATCGTAGTCCCCTCACGTGTCTAAAATGAACTGATTAAAAAGTGACTTCCCCCAAACAAACCATTCAAGAAACAATGCTGCACCAGTACCTCAGTCATTACAGTTAATGATCCAGCAATGGAATCCTATCAACAAAATCATGGACAATATAAGAGCTGGCTTTTAAATTTGAACAATAGCCTTGCAATTTGTGATCACAGGAAGTGGTGTGGTGCTCTGTCGGAGAGAGAGAACGACATGTGATGTGAAGGGAAGGAGTCTTATTGCTACAAATATAAACAGCAGAGATTAACCAGTCTCAATTACCCAATGAAACAGATTCCATTGGGCAATAAGATGTAGATACTGCACACCACTGGGCAATTAGTTCGCAGAAGACGACGCTTCATGTTCCAGGAGAAAGGAGCACAGGTACAGGATGTGTAAGATAAGGTGGGATGCGATACAAGAGTGCGTTACGATACACACGGCAATACATCAAATTTGACTATTTCAAAATATTCACAATGTACTCCACATGGTTTATTATCTTCACAAAACTGTATCGCAATAATGCCCTTCTTAACCTAGGAATCGCATCACCAACTGAATTCTTGAATCATAACACCAGCTAATACTAGAATCATGTCAATACAAGGAATCATATATATTGCTACAATCATCACTCTCTGTCAACACATGATGATGGAAATACCTCAAACCTCTGGTGAAAAGTGATCTCAACATGACAAGCTTTAACTAAATGATCACCAAACTGACAACATAACACATGTAGTGGTGATATGCATTACATTTGAAACATATACGCAAGGCTTAGAACAATATTTTTGGTTGTGAGGACCATAAACAAAAATTACAAATGGCTGTATTTGATTCTTTCTGTTTTTCACACTGAAACAAATGAAATCTGAAGATGGCAAACACCTAGCTCCATGAAATATGGCAAGAAGACATACTCAATGGTTAGCAGAATGTTCCGGAAACAGACTCAAACTGATTCCACTTGTTTTCATGGACAGTCAAAAGTAATAATTGTAGTTTTAACTTGTTTCCATGGAAATGACAAAAGAAATCGTTTCCAAATTACTTAAAAATAAGGCACAGATTACAAGTCTTTTTAGTTCTATTTAGTGAAACAAATGTCCAGACAGTAAAACTTACGCTTAATCATGAGACTGATGTAAATTGTGTTTACAACAAATTCATTTGAGTCCGCCACCAAAACAAACTACGACATCACAAAGTACACCCAATGGATGAAACTGAAGGCACAGTTAATGCTTGATTAGTCTAATGCATATTTCCATGTGTACACATGCCTATGTATTTCCTCATCACATAATCCTCTCATAGCCGAGTAAAACACTAAGTGGACCTTTTCATATTCAGTGATCTTAGTTTCAATTGTCCATGTTTCAGCGCAAGTTAACCATAATTGTGGCTTAAACTCACATTGAACAGTGTTTTCTGGTAATATACTGACATGTCATCTTGATTTGCCAGGACCACCTGACTGACTGACTGAGTTTGGTTTTACGCCGCTTTTAGCAATATTCCAGCAACATCACGGCGGGGGACACCAGAAATGGGCTTCACACATTGTACCCATGTGGGGATTCGAACCCGGGTCTTCGGCGTGACGAGCCAACGCTTTAACCATTAGGCTACCCCACGGCCCCCAGGACCACCTGAAGTGAAGCAGGTCATAGACGTTTACCACTCTGGTGTAACCCATGAGCAAAGGTATGGTACTGACAAACCTAGAGTGAGTGAGTGAGTTTAGTTTTACGCCCCACTCAGCAATATTTCAGCTATATGTCCGCGGTCTGTAAATAATCGAGTCTGGACCAGACAATCCAGTGATCAACAGCATGAGCACTGGACAAACCTAGAAACATAATCAGGGTAAATATGGGATTCAAACCCATGATCATTAGTTTCTGGCACATGCAAGGGAGCCAACCCTGCATGGCAAATTATGTGCCTTAGATGAGAGGGCCACCTATTCTGCACCTTAAACTGGTAAAGATGGGTAGCACTGACCAGATGCGATCAGTGAGCTGATGAGAATGCCATCCTTTTTTAAAGTAAGTTATGCAATTGGTTAGTGGAGAGATTCTTTTTCATTATAAAACCAATTCAGAAATTGGTAAATAGTGAGTGCAACAATGTTTCTTTGTAAACAGGTTCACTGACTGATCAACTATTTTATTTACAAGACAAATAAATTCACATGTGGAGGTAGACTAATAACCAGAAGTAATGAAAGAATATCAACCTAACCAAGACACACTATTGTCACATATATATATCCACAACTGAATAATTATAAGATATCCACCTGTTGATCTGAGCTAACTCAAGCATATAGTCAGGACACGTTAAATGCATTAACACATCCCCTTCAAGGGCATATTAAGTCTAAATCAAACACCTTGTTAAAAATATTGCACCTCCATATTGGGTCTATACTTTCTTATATGATTTGTATGCCATAGCCTCACTTAGCCATGACTTAAACCTTAATATTTCTGAAAGTGATGTATTAAAGGAGCACAATACAATCAATACATATACTGATGAAGAAAGTGAGTATGTTGAAAGCTGCTTTAAATAGTATTTCAATTATGTCAGCTTGATGTGGGCTCATGTGGCTGGTGTGCTCAAGGGATGCAACTCTGCACAGCAAATTTCGGTGACTTAGATGGGTGGGCCACTCGTGTCACCTCAAGTTAAGAAGCCCAAAGTCTCACAAACTCTCGAGGAAGGGTTGCTGACAGAACACAGATCATAATCGAGGCACACAATTGGACAATCTAAACCCATGGTAGGAGCAGCCCGGAACAGTAACAAGATACAGCAAGACTGGCTCCAGGGGCCACCAGGGCCCCATTGTACACATCAAGAATCTGGAAAAACATTTAATGTCCAAAATAGTGATTAAAGAATTTACATAAAAGTTAGTCTGTTTCATGATATCTATAAATAGAAGTGACAACTTAACCAAATCAGATTGAGTAAAGTTTAACAAGAAAGATAACAATAATAAGCAAAATTGGCACAATGAATTACATATCAAACGACCCAGAGTTTATAAGTCAACAATGATGAATAGCAAATCTAGGTCATATAGTACATAATAGTTAATAAAATTCATTATACATCACTAAAACATAATCTTGTTTCACCACTGTCTCCATTCTAACACAGTGTCTTGAGAGGTATAAGAGCAAAGGGAGTTAACTCCGGCAGTAGTCCCAAGGTACAATGTCAGCAAGTTGGAACATTTTAATCATCTAACACCATGCTCAAGTTTAGTAAACACTACATGTTTTACACCCTGTCAAACTAAGTTCATCCTCTTGGCTCTCTATTCATGAAGGAAGGGAAATGCAAATCATATCTTAAAGATGTTTTTCTTTTCTAGGTCTAGATTTTTGAAAGATGAATATGTGTCATCTTGATGTGGGGAGAATTTCATGATACAAGTCATACATGGTTACCCCTTGGAGAAAACCATGATGCATGGTGCTGAAAAATCAAGAATCGTAATCAGGCCAAACCTGGGATTTGAACCCACTATCACTGAATGATGCAGTTTTGCACAGCGAACTGCTGTGCCGTACACCAACAGGCCATCCATGCCACCTGCACCTTTTTGTTAAACCTATGAGCCAAGTAAAGAACTCACGGTCCCAAGATTAATTTGTGATTTAAACTATCACTATAATGATGACAGATCAGTGTCATGGAGTGAGAAAAATGAGGTGAACATGTTCACTGTTGCTGCAATACTGCACATGCTTGAAGATATGATACAGTTTCAATTTGTTTTCATTAAATTTAATTTCATAGGAAAAAGTTGACTAATCATCAGTGATTACCAATTTGTATAGAGCTGACAAACCAAAGGTCATGATCGGGTGAATTTGATCTGTCACATAAAATCCTGGCTCATCTAAGGGAAGTAACTCTGCACTAAAATAGTGGTATCCTAAACCAGCCTATGTCCTTACCACTAGGGCCATAATTAACCATGCCACATCATCACACAAGGCAAGATTAACTTTGACTCACAATGTAATGTCAGTAACCACACAGAACACTCATACTCTTACTGCAATATCCACACACAGAAATTGTAAAGGACTGCAAAGTGAGTTGGATGTGTTTGTTTCTGAGTAACTTTGGAGTATGACGCTATACAATTAACAATAATGTTATTTATATTGTCTGATCAGCAATCATCTACTACTACTTCTGTTTTTCACATATATCAAAAATAGCTTTCTAATTTCATCCTATATGGTCAATTCTGGACATCTGCATCATTCCTTCAGAAGAAACAAGCACACCAATGAACGATTGCTCAGTGACACAAGAACTAGAAGGGTTCAACAAGGGGCTTAACTCAATCAACTGCCACATTCCTGAGTATACAAGCCCAACACACCATAATGTTAACTCAAGCGTACTGCCTTGCAACTTTCTTGCAGTCAGTCATGGAAGTCCACTGGAAATGTTGATTAGAACACAAGAAAATATCAGTTACCCTTGATTTCATATTTACACAATCAACATGATCCCACCTGACAAACATTCGCAAATTATCTCCATATACCTGACATTATTCTAAACTTTCAACTGTTGCAATAACATTGTTATCATATGGTAATCATTATTAACTTATATCATCCATCAGGATCTATAACTGCAATGATATAACGGTAATGCAACTGACACGTATACAGTAAGACACAAAACAAAAGATACAGATGACAATAGCATTAATGTCATACCAATGATAACAACTAGCTGCATCTTCAGGGAGTAGTTCCATTTTAGGGAAAATTCAACAAAATTATGTAACATCAGAGACACTAATAAACATGATCAGCTTTTTAAAGTTTCATAATTTGCAATTTTGAACCATGTTTAACACACCTTTTCTTAAAACATAAGAAGTTTCAATTAATATGTCAATTAATTCCTTATTGTATTCAGTAAACACATCTTTTTTATTGCAAATAAAAGAAAAATCATATACACCTCTGTGTTAATAATACATACATTTGATATTATTCAATAGCATCATGCTAAATTTGAATATTATTTCCACCTAAAATGGAGGCTCTCCTGGGTGCCAGCAATATGGTAACAACTAGCTGTGGACATTAAAAGTGTTCGTTTGTAGCTTGGGCAGAGGCACTGAGGTAATTTCCAAAACTGTTTCTGCTTCCGTGGTAGGAAAACTGCTCGAAGTACGGGAGCTCGTTATCCTCTGTAATACTCTCTAAGTGACTGCCTCCATGCTCACTGGGGGACGTGCTCATTGGTTCCTGAGCAAATTCTTCTGGGATGTATTTAGTATCCCATGCACTTTTCACATCCGGTTTCCAAGGGGGACAAATCTGAGAAGAAACATGCAAAGAGATGAAATAATGCATTTGAATGTGTTTCAAGGTTCTATGTAAAACAAAGGACATAAATATTTGGGTGACGGTTCATATGAAGCTAAGAGTGCAGGACACCGACCAAGGCAGTCACAATGCTCTACACTACAGGGACAGGAGTCACACAAATACAAGTAAAGCCATTCTTTGTTGTCCTAACGATAACTCTTCATCTAATACGTCTAAAATCTCCATTTGCAGTTCGGAAATGCATCCCAGCACAAAACCTAATCAACTACTTGAAAGAAGTATAATACCACCTGCTTCTTTCAAATTACTACAGTTAATCCATCATGCCGTAACAGGTTAACTACAGTACAATGAAAGAATTGAGTGTTATATAACTTCTTTCGAAAAGATATTGTTATGTAAAGGATTTGTTTGAAATTCCTACTAACCACAGTCACACACAAAAAGATACTGTTACTTGCAATTTGAGATCTAATGATCAATAACTCCTGTATCAAAATGAATAACAGCTTGGAGCCATTCTTATTTCTAGCAGACTAATGCCCTCAATTACATGGACTGAGCCATTTTCAGTGTTGTCACAACCCCTAGTGTACAGTACACATCCCTGTGCACTTAAAAGAACCCACGAATCCGCTGGTATATGACCAGATGGTGGCCACATGAATACGTGCAAACACCTAGTTGCGGGTACAGCAACGTGCAGTGAACTTGGACAAAGTACTGTGACTATGTGTCCCAGTCAACCCAGCTGTGAATGGGTACCTCGTTAGGATGAGAAGGCCACAATAACTCGGTGCGCCTAGTGGCTGCAAGAGTTGTATACTCCCCAGGGAGTTGAGATTGATAATACGATGTGCCATTGAGATTGACATCCAATGATCGAGGGGAAAATACCAGCGCCTTGAGCATGCACTAGTTGCCTGGATATGTGCGCTATATAAATATCCTATAATAATAATAATAATAATAACCAAAATCTGAACTACTTCAATATTATAAGCTGAATAACAGCAATGTAATCAGGGTTGCTTTAGTCTTTAACAAACTCCCCCTGAGAAGTCTGTCTTAAATATTATGCTAGTCATGGGTTTGATTCCCAGATTTGCCCTGATAATGATCCTTGGTTTGTTAACACCATTCCTAGTCTTTGAATTTCAACTAAATGACAAACAAAGAAATGAATGATTTGCCGGCCCCACGGTTCAACCCAAGTCAACCAACAAGTGCTGGAACCATTTACCACAAAGAGATGACATAGAACATTGGAGAATAACATTAAGAGGTGATGTTCTGGCATGATCCAGGAAGATCCCCCAACTAATCCCTTGTCAGAGCCCACCTTCACAAAGGTATCTTGACTGTTGTAAAGGTCTAAGTGGACATATAGCAGTGCTTCCATTATCCGGTATATACCGGACTTGGTAAGAAGTAAGAATGTCTGGTAATTTCAAAGGCTGTCGGTCATTGTGTCCGTCAAATTTTAAAATCAATTTTGTAATTACCTCTGTCAAGTTTATTTCTCCTCGAAAAAGATTACATTTTGACAATGACATCGAGGTGCTGTCAAATAAGAAATAGCAGTTCTATGGAAAACCTCAGGATAAAAATAGCGGCATTGACGCATTGCGATACTCTCCACATTTCTGATTGGTTGTTAGGGTGCAGGTCTCAGGCACAATGAAAAGTGTGATTACTTGACTGGTGGTAAAATTTACAAATGACCGGTATTTGAAATGCTAGCCAGGCACGATGTCCAGCTGTAAAAAATGACAGCGGAAACACTGAAATAGTATTCCATGCAAGTGGATCAAGTTCACCACGTGACAAAAATGAAAGTGTATAATCTTCATACAAGACAATAGTAATATTAGACTTGGCCTGTTAGCTACCTTAGTGAGTGAGTTTGGATTAACTATACTTTGAACTGATGTATCAAGGTATTTCAGGTTAATATGGGAGCAAAGTCCACAGTTGTGGTTATAGACAAACCAAAAATCTGAGGCAAATCTGAGATTTGAACCCATAATCAGAAGATACTGCCAAGTCAAGGGACGCAACTCTGCACAGCAAATTACACCCCCTGTTAATGTCCTCAAAGTTAACAAACCTACATTCTATTGTGATGCTCACAAAGACAACTTCTATATGTGTGAAGACAACAGTTAGTGCTGATAGGGCCATGACAATGTGTGGATGTGCTACTGAGAGGTGCTATGGCTACGTCCTTCACCATGCAAGTGGTCAGGCTATGGGTGGTATTTAGTGCTATCTCTGTTGCATTACATGTCAGTGTTAAACTCAAGAAATCCTGAAATAAAGAATAAAGTGTCACATCCAAAATTATAATGCAGTGCCATCTAAAACGTCAATAGAAAGTTAACAGAAACCAACTGTGTAAAAAATCAATGTTAACGAAGCAAAATTAAGCAAACTGTAGCACCATAAAACAAAACCCATGTTTAGAACAGACAAAGAAGCAAAAAAAAAAAAGTAATTAAAATTTTAAATAAAAAAAAATTGAAAGAGGCATGTATCCTCTCCCTGCCGCCTCTAAATGTGAGGATAACGCTAGGCCACCAGCTACCGACCTATATTGTTAACGCTGGTCAATCTTAAGTGAGGATTATGTTGTCCAGGTTGTCTCAAAGCTCATGCGACTGCTGGCGAGGCTACAGCGACTGCCATGGTAGGAAAACTGCTCAAAATATGGCATTGTCTCCATTTCCTCAGTCACCGTCTCCAAGCGGTGGCCACCAGGGGGTGTAAGCTCCACCGATTCCACAGTAAATGTTTCATCAAAGTAGCGCGTGTCGGTCTCGGATGTCACCTGAGGCTTGAAAGGCGGAGTCACCTGAGGGAGTGATAGATAGCATGCCAAAATTAGGCAAATAAAGTAGACAAAGCAGAAGCACAGACAGAAGAAAGCAGCTACGCGCAGTCAGCTAGCCTCTAGGACAACACATGAATGAGATAAGCAATGAACTAACAAAACGCATTCCCCTAGTCTCTGAACCCTAGTTATACACTATTTTCACCCTAAATGAGATTTGTCATTGACTTAATCCTCTTGTCTCCACACCATGGTAAACAGTATTGAAACCTAGAATTATACTAGACATATTGTAACAGCAAGTACTCATCTTTCTCTTTCTTTAGCTTTGTTGTAACATGACCTATTCCCCTAGTTTCAAAGCTCTTGGTATACAGTATTTTAACACTTGATTGAGATTAGCCATGTAGTAACATTACTTATTCCCCTAATCTCAAAGCTCTTGGTATACAGTATTTTAACACTTGATTGAGATTAGCCATGTAGTAACATTACTTATTCCCCTAATCTCAAAGCTCTTGGTATACAGTATTTTAACACTTGATTGAGATTAGCCATGTAGTAACATTACTTATTCCCCTAATCTCAAAGCTCTTGGTATACAGTATTTTAACACTTGATTGAGATTAGCCATGTAGTAACATTACTTATTCCCCTAATCCCAAAGCTCTTGGTATACAGTATTTTAACACTTGATTGAGATTAGCCATGTAGTAACATTACTTATTCCCCTAATCTCAAAGCTCTTGGTATACAGTATTTTAACACTTGATTGAGATTAGCCATGTAGTAACATTACTTATTCCCCTAATCTCAAAGCTCTTGGTATACAGTATTTTAACACTTGATTGAGATTAGCCATGTAGTAACATGATTTATTCCCCGAGTCTCCAAGCTCTGGGTATACAGTACTTTGACACTTGATTGAGATTAGCCATGTAGTAACATTACTTATTTCCATAGTCTCCAAGCTCAGTGCATACAGTATTTTAACACATACAAGATGAGATCACCCAAGTAGAATCAATTAGTATCACTTCCCAGCATTTACATTTTGAGATTTTGTATTATGTAGAAAATACAATATGAATGATGATACAAAGTGGAGATTCTGACATGAATTATAAGAGGTAACCACACAGTAAGTCAGAACTGGTGTTTAGAGAAATGGACTATGTTTATATGTGTGAACTGTTATATATGAAAGAAGGGTACAACAAATCCAGCCTGAAAACTTGTCATAAATGATACCAATGCCCCACTCTATGAAACCAATCCCCCTACATACGTAACCAATACCCCACCATATGAAACCAATACATGCAACCAATACCCCACTATATGTACTCAATATCCCACCATATGAAACCAATACCCCACCATATGAAAACCAATACCCATTATATGTAACCAGCATGTATACCTTGTTCTGCCTCCTCAACATTGGCTACCTCCCATTGTTATTGTATTATTACCTACCCCATCTGCTATGTATACCTTGTTCTGCCTCCTCAACATTGGCTTCCTCCCATTGTTATTGTATTATTACCTACCCCATCTGCTATGTATACCTTGTTCTGCCTCCTCAACATTGGCTTCCTCCCATTGTTATTGTATTATTACCTACCCCATCTGCTATGTATACCTTGTTCTGCCTCCTCAACATTGGCTTCCTCCCATTGTTATTGTATTATTACCTACCCCATCTGCTATGTATACCTTGTTCTGCGCCTCCTCAACATTGGCTTCCTCCCATTGTTATTGTATTATTACCTATCCCATTGTTGTTGTTGTTAATCCCTTTGATGTATTCCCTCATGTTGTCTTACTTAATCCCTGTTACATGTATATAAGTCGGTTCTGTGCTGTAATACTTTACTCATGCTTGACAACGGTATAAGGTGCTATACCCAAACGTCGCATCATAACAAATAAAGAAGTTGTTATCCATAAAGTATTATACTTTTCTATATGTAACCAATACCCCACTATATGAAACCAATGCCCCACCATATGAAACCAATGCCCCACCATATGAAACCAATACCCCACCATATGAAACCAATACCCACCATATATGTAACCATATGTAACCAGGATTACTTTACTAGATCATCAGACTGTGACTATGTTTTTCAGACAATTTCTTTCTGCATTTGAAATTGGAAACTTCACTTACAGTATACGCATTAAGTAGTGCTGCCCAATATAACCGGTTTACCGGTTCAGACATCAAAACGATACGCATTGCGATACGCTGATCGAAAACCGGTATTTTGATATGCATTCGGAAAACTTCGTAACACTCCGAAATCTTCGGATATTTCAGTGTTTTAAGTTGTTCATTTCCTTTTTTATTTGTGCCAAATATTATTTACATTTGTTTTTTTGTCATGATTAAAGTTTTTATTAAATCTTAATAAAGCATAGTGATTTTGTTGTATTTTTGCTTTATAAATCAAGCATTAACTCGATTATACATAGTTTTTTGTTGAAAAAACCCTTCTTGCAATATATTGCAATACACATCGCAATATACGCTTTTGCATTACAATATATCGCAATATGAAAATTCTCTGCAATACCATTACCCACCCCTAGCATTTAGTCATTCCATATGTTGTCCATTACCATTGTTACATCACAACACGGTGGCATTAGTAAGGTTTGGTACAGAGGACAAACATGCAAGCATGGCAATTTATATACATCATCTTAATCATTTCCTCTCCCTGGTACAACATGGAAAACTTACAAACTGGTAATTCTTTCATATTCATCAGTACATCCAAAGTTTCATCATTACAACAATACAAACATCTGTGTTTAAATTGTTTGTGGTCTGGTGAAGTCAACGTGTTGAGTTACCTCCCATTGTTTGTAATGATGTGAAGGTGCTGTGTAATGAATATGCAAACACAAATGGGATGAAAGCATCTATAATGAAGAGTACAGAGTTATCCAACACCAGAGAAAAGGGATACTTTTGCTTCAATCATAATATCTAAATATTTACAGAATATATCGAAATGATAAATCTAAATGATATATCTACAAATGATAAATATAATTATACACTTTAAAGTATAAATATAGAATTAGGATTAAAATGCAAAAAAACATTAGCTTGGACTGTCAAATAAGATTTAGATGTTTTCTAGAAAAAAAATCTATTTTCACAAACAAAATATGATTAAAACCCTGCTGCAGAACAGAACTAGAAATGATATGAAGCTAACTTTAGACTATCATTCTTCCTAAATGTAAAACTAGAGAAGCTGTTACAACAACTGATCCATCTGACAACAAGTCAACATGAATATTTCGCAGTACTCCAGCTAGTTGTGGGCGCTACTGTTCAGGTTAGAGAGTATTGCTCTAAAGGAAGGTTCCATTAACCTTACATCCAAAGACATGGAAGTGTACCATAAATACCAATCATAAACTGTGAGGTCACAAAAATATGAAAAAGAAAGTACAAAAATACACAAAGGTGAATAATGACTGCAGTGCTTTACCTTCTTCTCCGCCAGATCCGCCCAGTTGATGGGCATGAAGAAGGGATGAGACATTATTTCCCTTACATCAGCTTCACTCCCGCCGAGTCTGTCAGGATGGAAAACAGAATTACAGCTATCTAAGGCTGTAACCATTCACTCGCATATTCGGTGAATCGAACCGTAGCCCTTCATGAATTCAATTCGTTATTCGTGGTCACCAGAACCGAATATTAACGAATATTTACAATTTTTTTAAAGGAGCATGTTTTACTTGAACCCTTATGTCCTTTTCCAAAGTGAGATATGCAAGGATGGAACATGTACTAGCATTGCAGTAGTGCAAGTCATGTTAGTTTGCCAAGGCCGCACATGGTACTGTCGACTATACCCATTACATACCAAATTTGAGTGTCATGAGATCACTGGTTATTGCTGTGACGAATTAACACTGTTGACATGCTGTTCCATATTGTACATCAATCACTTAACAACAATATTGTATTCGTGAATAACTATTTGTATTCGTTACCCAATATTCATGATACGTATCATATTTGCCACATAGTGTATTCGTTGCAGCCCTACAGCTATCTGATAATTTACCTGGTTCAGTTCCATACTACATCCCTGTGACACCTAATGTTCCCTCAATAGTGTGGGCATGTGTTTGTGAGTGTCCCCAGATGGGATTCCTGGGTAGAACTAATCTCTAGCAATTTATGACTTAATCCATAAACGGTCATGTTTAGTGACGGCAGTATTAGGTCCTCAAACCAAGAGTGAGTGAGCAAGTATGGTTTAGCAATATTCCAAGAAATATCACAAGAAATGGGCTTCACACATTGTACCCATGATGGGAATCGAACAAGGGTCTTCGGTGTGACGAGCAAACGCATTAATCACTTGGCTACCCCAGTGCCCTCTCAAACCAAAAAAAAACATTTATCACATTTAAGGAACTTTCCACTTGGGCAGCCCAAACGATTGTTAATAAAAAGTACGGATGATGGCCAAATGATTTGTGTCCTTATGTCAGCACATGTGAAGGGCACTTCCACTGACCTGTCTTTGGGATTTTTGGCCAGTAGGCCTGTGAGTAGACTCTTGGCATCTTCAGACAACGTCCGGGGAAACTTGACCGACTGAAGCAGGATGAGTTCAAACAGTACGTCGTGGTCACGGTTGTAGAACGGCAGTCGACCACACATCATCTCATACATGACCACTCCCGTCCCCCACCAGTCCACTGCTCTCCCATAGTCATTGTCTTCTAAAACCTAGAGAATGATGGGAGTAGATGCTGGTTTAGTTACCAATATAAAAAACAGATATTCTTCTTGTCTGTTCTGTGCTTGAACCAGATGGATTTAATGCTTCTTCGGACAGAATTTCAGCCAATCATGATGTGCTAACTTATGTCAGATAACGCCTACAGTGATGTCTAATGATGACGTTTACCACTAAAACAATGCATACAAGAATGTGCATGGTGCCAACAAACCAAGAATCATAATAGGTTGATTTGGTGAATCTAAGACTGGGATTCTGGTACATATAAGGGACATAACTCTGTTAGGATAGTGCGGTTGCTTAGAAAATTGTCAATCTTTGCACTTCTAAATAATATAGCCATATCAAGAAGACATCTATATTTCCATGTCAGCTTAGAACAAGTGAGTGAGCATGTGAAGCAGGATTAACACAGCTTTGAATTTTATTCCAGTTATATCATGATGCATTGGCTTAATATGGAAAAAACCCAGAGGTAATGCTGGTCTCTATTTGCCATGTTAGTGAGCTGAACTTTGGTACAACCTAGAAACATACTCAGGACAAAGCAGGATCTGAACCTTGAGTCATAAAGGGACACAACTCTGCACAGTGAATTGTGCTGCCTCAGATGATTGGGCTACCACTGCCCTGAACACATCTAAGAAACCACAAAGCATAGGTTTTTTGGTTAGTTTGTCTCTGCTTTCAGAGACACAACTGTGGAAATCATCTATAGAAAGTTTCAGCATTTTAGGTCTTGTTTCAGAGGTATGATAAAGAAACAATAGATAACAAGCATTGTCACTAAGGTGACATAATCCCCCGCCGCAAATTATCAAATCAAACTTATAACGTAATGAAAGTTTAAGATGAAGTTCAATGTCAACAAAAACATGACCAGTCAACCTCTCTTGATATCTTGCTCTTTAGGTGTTCAAACACACACATATTTTCAAGACTGACTTTGACCTTGACATGAATGTCATAGTGTATGAAATATGCACAAATAGTACTAAAGAAATTGCTTATTGAAAAACATTTAAGGGAAGTCTTGAAAGTCTATGAAGAAAATCCAGTGAACCGCTTTTAAAATATCTTGCTGACAATTCAGGTTAACAAGATGAAATATTGAAAGTGTCGTCGTGACCCTGAAAATTATGTGCAGGTTGCCAAAATTGACTTGGCCCTGGGCCTTTCCTAGATGAAGCTTGGTGTCAAGTAAGAAGAAAATCCAGTGAATATTTTTTAGATATCTTGATGACTATCTTAACATGCAATTTAACATGCTGAAATCTTCAAAGTGTCTCTGTGACCTTGAAAATTAAGTGAAGGTCACCAAAATCCACTGGGCCTTCCCTGGATGAAGCTTGGTGTCAAATATGAAGAAAATCCAGTGAATGGTTCTTGAGGTATCTCGCTGACAAGCATAACATGCAAGTTAATATGCTGAAATCTTCAAAGTGTCGCCATGACCTTGAAAATTAAGTGAAGGTCACCAAAATCGAATTGGCCCCGCGCCTTCCCTAGATAAAGCTTGGTATTGAATATGAAGAAAATCCAAGGAACGGTTCTAGAGATAGCTTAACATGCAGGTAAAACGTGAAAGTCCCCTTGTGACCTTGAAATGAAGGTCAAGGTCACCAAACCTGATTTGGACCTTTCATATACTGTGATGAACCTAGGTACCAAATATGAAAAGAATCTAGCTGAACGGTTCTTAAGATATTCCAATTCGTACGGACGGACGGACGGACGTAGTACAGAGCCTAATACGCGTGGCGGGGGATAACAAACAATGTTTCCAACATACAGACACTCGATCCTCAGTTAAACTATGGGAGTACTGACCTCAGGAGCAAGGTACTCTGGTGTCCCACAGAATGTGCTGGTACTGGCACCGAAGTGCATCTCTTCCTTACACAGGCCAAAGTCAGCTATCTTAATGTGACCATCTTTGTCCAGTAATAAATTCTCCAGCTGGAAAGGAATGGCAGAATGGAAACATTCATTCTATAATGATTGTGACATATGATGAAGCACTGGTCCCGTTGTGGACATTTCTCAATGATTACTTCTATCAGAACGCATGGCATAATCTGTGGTATGTCACGTTTATTTGTATGTATCTTACTACATAACTTCAATTTTGTAGACGGACTGTCTACATTAAAAGTTTACTAAACATGCTCAAGACAGGGCTTCATGCTTCTGATACATTTTTAAAATAACAAACTATTCTAACATGTTTCCAACATATACATTATAGATCATAACACCTTGTTGCTAATAGAATGTGTTAAATTTACATCAAATAATCCCATGAACAAAATCAGGAAATCCATAACAACTTATCAACTGTCATTATTAATATTAGAATAATCAGTCTAAATCTACCTTAGAATGTATGGATAAACAAAGTATCTTGGGATCTTGTGATGAAAATATACTAGTGCCATAGAGCAAAGCTAGTTCACTGATTTTAAGTTTAAATCATTTAACAATAAAAATATTGTTCAGTATGGGAGGTTATACATTCTCACCTTAAGATCTCTATATACAATATTATTTTCATGCAGGTAACCAAGGGCAGATATGATTTCCGCGCCATAAAATCTTGTCCGGTCTTCAGAGAAGACACGATCTCTGGACAAGTGGAAAAACAGTTCTCCGCCATTTACATACTCCATCACAAAACACAGGCGGTCTGCTGTCTGGAATGAATACTTCAGTTCCTGTGGGAGAAACAACATACCCTGGTGAGGAACGAAAACGGTTACAGCCACATAATAATATGTTACGCATAACAATACACATGTAACGTGATGTCATTTTTACGTCAAATTTTGTGTAAATTTCTTCACTATAAATATTTCAGAGTAGGTTAAAAAAGAACAAAAACATGTTCATAGCAGCTTTTTATAGTAGTGAACTTGAAATACAGGTACTACACATTTTCAATATTTAACTGACAAACATGCTCAGGGGTCATTGAAATATACTACTCACACTTTGCTAAGGATCACAAAAACCCACAACTTTATTCAAACGTAGATTTATAATTTGAAATTGTATCCATTTGAAACTGGATAATTATAATATGGTAACCCCTCTTTAGGCAAACAGTCACTTTAATCTAACCTTATGCACTTGATACATGAGTAACCATAAACATGGTTTTCATGGCACCAATCAACCATTTTGCAAATCATGGAACTAGTCATTGACAAGTACACAACACCTGTCAATATATGAAATGACAAACTGCAACCTAGGATCCATGCTTACAATAAGCTTGGATATTTAAACCAAATTTGACCCCACATCATAGTTTTCTGTTGAATCCATGACTTGATCCTTAGCAAAGTGTGAATAGTATAATAGCAAGTAATTTATTTATTTCACATCGTGTGGTGGCGTGTGGTCCTGTGCATACGGATCAGGTCACAAATCAGTTGAAGTTTAGCACCGTTGAGCATGGAGAATCCTTGGATGGGTGACAGTTTGACTCCTGCGAGTTTCTAGGACTTCAGTCCTGCCCCACAATGACGCACATGTGATACATGTGGTCTCACCTTAGGCAAGTGAGTTTGTTCAAAATTGCCTCTGTTCACCCAGCAGAAAATGGGTACCCGGTGAGATAAGTCATGTGTCTATTAACATTCTAGTGCTTAACAGGCAGCTTGGGTTATCCAGGGTAATAATAATCACACCCAGCAGAAAATGGGTACCCAGTGAGATAAGTCATGTGAGTATTAACATTCTAGCGCCTAACAGGCAGCTTAGGTTATCCGGGGTAATAACAATCACACCCAGCAGAAAATGGGTACCCGGTGAGATAAGTCATGTGAGTATTAACATTCTAGTGCCTAACAGGCAGCTTGGGTTATCCGGGGTAATAATAATCACACCAAACAGAAAATGGGTACCCGGTGAGATAAGTCATGTGAGTATTAACCTTCTAGCGTCTCACAGGCAGCTTGGGTTATCCGGGGTAATAATAATCACACCAAACAGAAAATGGGTACCCGGTGAGATAAGTCATGTGAGTATTAACCTTCTAGCGCCTCACAGGCAGCTTGGGTTATCCGGGGTAATAATGATCAGATTCTGATTACAGCGTCCAGTGAGCAACTAGTCAGATGGATACTAGGCGCTATATAAATGAACAATTACTATTATTACATCACTTTATTACACTGGCCATGACAGATGAACTATTGAAAACATGAAATAGTGTTTTCTTTAACAACTTGTGAGTAGTGTGCAATATCTAAAAACACCAAATGACTGAGCTGCTGCTACCCTACATAGTTTAGTGGTACTACTGACTTCCTGGTTTACAGGGTTCAACTGTGTGATGAAACAGTCTTTGCAATACATACTGTCAAGAAAGGATGCTTTGTTGTTTGCAGAACTCTGTTTTCTGTTAATGTGTGGGTCACCTCATCCTGAAAAACAAATAAGTGTTACATGATTAATTCACTCAGGAAAACCATTACCAAAGATACATTCTGTTTACTGAACATGAAGACACTGAAAGCAATACTCCTTCAGCTCTCAATAATAGACAGAAACACAAACGAACACTAGTCAGTTGATTATCAGTAACACTGACTGACTGACTGAGTTTGGTTTTACGCCGCTTTTAGCAATATTCCAGCAACATCACGGCAGGGGACAATTATCAGTAACAATTCCAGCTACAGTATATGCTATTGTTTTGGTTCCAATATGAGTTTCAATATAAATACAGAGCTGCAGATAACTTTTTGGGTCATTGAGTTATGTACTCATTTTGTTCATCTCAATTGGGTATCCTAATTTTCCTTTGAGTAACCAAATAAATTGTACCCACCTCACTCAAACTCAATTGGGTATTTTGCCATTTTCCATTGATTGTAAAAATATAATAAAGTTTAAATGTTGGTTTACGTGTTTGATATTTATATTTGATCTGTAATAGGAACGATAAGAAAGACTGCATGTTGCCAAGTTCATGTGCTGAAATAGAACCTCTCAGTATACCTCAGTTATTTTATCAATTTTTGTGTGTAACATGTAAGATCGAATGTATTCAGTATTTACAAAACTTTAAGCGTACTTGTAAGCAATAAACTTAATATTAATTGGGTTTTCACATAAATATTTGTGTACCGGTAATTTACACAGATACGCAGCTTATCTGTACCTCTTGCAAGTCGGCAAGAAAAAAACATGACAAACTCTTTCAAACATTTGATGTACAGCAGCCATGAATTAAGATGAAAGCTCTTTGAACAGTATTTCAGTTATATCAATGAGTCAGCCTAACTGTGAAAAGAAAGCTTGAAGTGTAGCAGATCTTAGATCCCCACACCTGGGAAACCAAACAATGGGTGGTGCTGTCAACCTTGTAACTGGGATTAAACCCATGAACATAGATTCCTGGCACATCTAAGGGACATAATCCTGCATAACTGGTCCACCTGTGCTTGCCAACAAGTTAAAGGTAGAAAGGACCAACCTGGTCTTAATGTGTCAATTCTAAATTCTTAAGCCTTAGTAAAGAAAATTTACTGCTGATATTGTACACCACCTTAATAAACAGGGAGATTCAGTCCTTGGAGTAAATATATAAAATAACTTAGATACCAAATTAACATATCATCACAAGCTATGAGTATTCGGATTTGTCTTGCTGAATGGAGGTATACCTTACCTTTGCAATAATTACTGCTTTCTTGAGGATTTTGATCGCATATAAATGATTTGTTGCTTTTTCTTTACATAAAATGACTTTTCCAAATGTTCCTTTCCCGAGAACCTTAAGAAACTGGAAATCATCAAGTGACTGAAAGAAACCAAAATACATTAAATGTTCAGTCTTCTGACAAATGAGGCAGTGTGCAACCAAACCACTACATCAAATCATGGCACATTTTATTTCATCACATATATCATTCTCTTCCCACAGAGGTTACTTGTCATATCTTCCTACGAACTTCTGTTCTAATACGATCATATTTCCCGGTTCTCGTAAAATCCCCTAGCGGCAAAAAATCGCAACACGAATTATCTCCCTTCTTTCTGTCCAATCAGAACATGTGTTACATCAACTTGACTAATACAAGCAAATGTTGGGTCACAAATATCCCTCCTCTGCCAGGAACTTGTGTTGATGTGACACACAAGACATTTAATGGCTAGCTTGTCCATTGTCAACGAGGGCGATGGAGACGCCATTGAACCGCCATTTACATGACTGAGTTCTGTCTATAACAAACGTTTGCGCATCGCGCAGGGAAAGCGGCTCTATTTTCCCGAAGCATACGGAAATAACCGAGGCCTTGCGAATGATCACTTTTGAAACAACGTCGCTGATTGCACAACTAAATCTGATTGCAACCAATCACGAATCCTGAACACTCGCACCATGAAAGGGACGTATTAGAACAGAGGTTCGTAGGAAGAAATGACAAGTAACCTCTGTGGGAAGAGAATGCACATATATGTACATGATTTGGAAGCATTAAATATCTTTGTTATATACAACATCACTACCCATAGAAAATCTAGCCAAACACAGAAGCCATTTTGATCACAGAGTTTCAAATTTGGCTGCTTATTAAGGAAGCCCTATGTCAATGATAAGGTGTCCTGGGAGATAAATCAGATAAAAACTACACAGAATGTGTGACCACTGATTCCCTAATTGTGTTGCTACTAAAAACATGCATGAGGTACAAGGGATTTCTTTGGCATGGAACCTCTACTTGTGTACTGGTGTCACACACAACACAGATCTCTGTACCTTCTTCCTTTGTGATGCCAACAATCCACATGCACCATCTTCAGTGACCTTCAGATCCTCAGCTACTGACTTGATTGCCTGGATCCATTCCTCCCTGCAACAACATCACTCAGTCAATTTCACATGTAACTATGGAAACGAAACCTGATCCATTCCTAACAACATCATACAGTCAAATTCCCATGTAAATATGGAAACTAAACCTGATCCATTACTTCCTAACAACATCATACACTCAACTTCCTGTGTAAGTGGGGTGGTGGCGTAGCCTAATGGTTAAAACGTTGGCTTGTCACGCCGAAGACCCGGTTCGATTCCCCACATGGGCACAATGTGAGAAGCCAATTTCTAGTGTACCCCGCCGCCATGACATTGCTGGAATATTGCTAAAAGCGGCGTTAAACCATACTCACTCACTCCTATGTAAGTAATTAAAGTAAAGACAATCTCTAAACTCCAAAAGTTCCATTTCCACAGGGATTCTGGCTTAGAATTTGTCCATAGCATTATGCGTGTAGTAGGACAGGCTTGGGATTTGATTAATGATTAATAATACCTTAATGGTGAGGTGAGGTGAGGTGAAATTGGGTTTAACGTCGCTGGCAGAATATTTTGCTGGAGAATATTTTTGGTTTTACACCATATGCAATATTCCAGCAACATCACGGCGGGGACACCAGAAATGGGCTTCATGCATTGTGCCCATGTTGGGATCGCTTTAACCATTAGGCTACCCCACTGCCCCTCGCGGCGACATACGCATGCGTATGTGCGGCTGCTTGTACTAGCCCAGACTTCAGCTGGTTTTATAGTGCTAGCCCACTGAGATACCATGCTGCAGTGAAGCAGGAATACCCCACTCAGACACATTATACTGACTCCAAGTCTACCAGTCCTTGATGTACCCACTTAAGACGAGCACCAGGCAGGGACCAACAAGTACCATATTTTAACGTCTTTTGGTATGACGTGGTCAGGGATTGAACCCGCGACCTTCAGCTCTCCGGGCGGATGCTTTAGCCACTACACCATGGAGGCGGTCCAGTACCTTAATGGTATCTATCAATGCCGATACTACCATGGAGGTGGTCCAGTACCCTAATGGTATCTATCAATGCCGATACTACCATGGAGGCGGTCCAGTACCCTAATGGTATGTATCAATGCCGATACTACCATGGAGGTGGTCCAGTACCCTAATGGTATGTATCAATGCCGATACTACCATGGAGGCGGTCCAGTACCCTAATGGTATCTATCAATGCCGATACTACCATGGAGGCGGTCCAGTACCCTAATGGTATCTATCAATGCCGATACTACCATGGAGGTGGTCCAGTACCCTAATGGTATCTATCAATGCCGATACTACCATGGAGGCGGTCCAGTACCCTAATGGTATCTATCAATGCCGATACTACCATGGAGGCGGTCCAGTGAGTGAGTGAGTGAGTTTAGTTTTACGTCGCACTCAGCAATATCCCAGCTATATGGCGGCGGTCTGTAAATAATCGAGTCTGGACCAGAAAATCCAGTGATCAACAGCATGAGCATCGATCTGCGCAATTGGGAACCGATGACATGTGTCAACCAAGTCAGCGAAACTGACCACCTGTTCCCGTTAGTCGCCACTTATGACAAGCATACTCGCCTTTTATGGCAAGCACATGGGTTGCTGAAGACCTATTCTACCCCGGATCTTCACAAGTCGGAGGCGGTCCAGTACCCTAATGGTATCTATCAATGCCGATACTACCATGGAGGCGATCCAGTACCTTAATGGTATCTATCAATGCCGATACTACCATGGAGGCGGTCCAGTACCCTAATGGTATCTATCAATGCCGATACTACCATGGAGGCGGTCCAGTACCCTAATGGTATCTATCAATGCCGATACTACCATGGAGGTGGTCCAGTATCCTAATGGTATCTATCAATGCAGATACTACCATGGAGGCGGTCCAGTACCCTAATGGTATCTATCAATGCCGATACTACCATGGAGGCGGTCCAGTACCCTAATGGTATCTATCAATGCCGATACTACCAATTCCTGGATAAGGTGATAAACAACAAACACTCACATGCATGTAAACATGCACATATCATTAAAGATAGCCTTTCTTACCTTTCACCAGCAGACTCTACACAGAACATTCGCTCTACAACAGTTGTCCATTGTAAACCTCTGATCATGAATGTATTTGGCTTAGGTCTCTCCAGCTTCATCAGCTGGCAGTCTGAAACACAGGACAGTAGGACAGTTCAGGTGACTGTCTAAGTCTCTCAGAGGAAAATTTATGACAGCCAAATAATAGTAACAATAATAAGAAAATAAAATCTGCAAAAGTAGTGTACGTTGTATGATTCCACTATATGGTTATTATGGTTCTTTTTAATCAGCTATAAGCTAGAGTGAGTGAGTGAGTGAGTGAGTTTAGTTTCACGCCGTACTCAGCAATATTCCAGCTATATGACGGCAGTCTGTAAATAATCGAGTCTGGACCAGACAATCCAGTGAACAACAGCATGAGCATCGATCTGGGAACCGATGACATGTGTCAACCAAGTCAGCGAGCCTGACCACCCGATCCAGTTGGTCATCAAGACTCTTACTACAAGCATGGACCTTCACGGGTCACTATAAGCTATAGATAATACCGCCAGGTGTTTGTAACAGAGGTGAATGTATTCTGCTTCACCTGTGTGACTGCCACAAACACATGCAAAGGCAAGTAAAATGTACATACAGTACAAGTCAAAATGGGGAATTTTATCAGGCACTATTCGGACACTATTAAATGTGGACGCATCCTTTATAAGTGTACCGTAAAACCTTTTAAAGGCCTTACTGAAATGGCGTATCCCTTATCACACAACTCATCTCATTCCTTAACTGCAATTGATCATCAGTTCTTGAAGAACTCACCTACTTTACAAAACCTTGAAGTATAGCCTATTTAGAAGATATTAATCTGACAATCTGGAAAAACTGACAATCAAACTTTCAGGAATGAAATGAGTTTTACTATGTTCCAAATTTCATGACTGTAGGGAGTGTGTGGAATGGGAATAGAGCATATGACTTCATACAGCAGGGGTGGAAATAACCCATTGCCCGACGTCCAGAGTGTTTTTTTGTCGGGCAAGCAAATTTGAATATCAAGCTGTAACGGTGTCCAGTTGACTTTCAAATGTTAATTATGTTGTCTATTTAAAAAAACAAACAAAAAAATTGGCTGGTATAGTGGAAAAATTATCAGGGCAAGTGATTTTTCATATGCCACGGTACCAGAGTACACTAGCAATTGTAAAGTTAATTGCACCCCTGAATACACCTGAAGAAGCAGTACTTGTTAACTATTGTACTTCATACCTTTGACAGTGAAGTCATTGAGAGGATCGCTGAGGTCACCATTCTCAGGCTTGGATCGGAACCCAAGAAAGGACCCATCTTGTCGAAGGATAAAATAGCGTTTCCGCCAGTTTCTGATATGTTCACCTGTATAATTAGAAAGTTTTACTTCAGCCACAGTAACATCTAATCATAAAATTCCAAGAGACAAAAAAAGATGCGTGTCATCCATAAAATTATTAGTGCTGCTTAACAAACACTTTAGTTCTGGAAACATCTGTTAACCAAACATTAACATGACTAAGAAAGATTCATAAAAGAAAACAGAGGGTATCAAAAGACTATAGCATTCTGTCATATACTGTAAAACATGTATCACAAAAATAACAAAATCTTTGGAATTCCTGACCTGCCAAAAATTCTCACTCAGACAGAACTGACTCACCTCGTTTCCATAGATAGCCCTCCTTGATGATAGACAATGGACTCACTTCAGCATTCATTGCCCTGTAAAAGACTGCTATGTTAGATCAGGGAATAGTACAGGTATGTCAATCACTGCACCTACAATGTCAACAGTGTAGGTAGCATAGTACACAATCAACAGTGTTAAAGGGGGCACTTTGATCTTTACCCTGCTCTACCTTACACAGTGTTAATGAATCACGCTGTAGCTTAGCTTTGAATGACTTGGCACATTTACTAGTCCGCAAGTCCTTCTATAACCAGAGAAAATCAGAGAGGAACCTGTCTGTAACATTTCATAAACCATGTGTTATGATTGTTATTCCATTCTACTTCTCTTAAAAGAAGAAGGCTTCACTACAAGTGCCCATTGTGTTGGTATCAGTGAGTGAGTGAGTGAGTTTAGTTTTACGCCACACTCAGCAATATTCCAGCTATATGGCGGCGGTCTGTAAATAATCGAGTCTGGACCAGACAATCCAGTGATCAACAGCATGAACATCGATCTGCGCAATTGGGAACCGATGACATGTGTCAACCAAGTCAGCGATCCTGACCACCCGAGCCCATTAGTGACCTCTTAACGACAAGCATAGTCGCCTTCTGTGACAAGCATGGGTTGCGGAAGACTTATTCTACCCCGGATCTTCACGGGTCGTGTTGGTATCAAGAGAAAAATAAGCCTTCAGTGAAATTGAAACATTGTCTGTATGTAGTGTGGTGATCATGAAATGCAAGATGGAACTAAATGAAAACATTTAGCAAGAAAAATCTTATTTTACTGGCCTGATTAAAACTTGCTTGTTCTCTCACATGGCTAAACCAAATTTATTATTTAAAGCTGTTCATGACTGAGAGGCTCTGTCTTTTTGGTTTTGGTCTTTAGCTAAGGCACCAAATTTGACATAAAATGAAGAAATATTAATGGTTTTAATGAAATCATGCAGCATCATGTAAACATGGTTACCAAACACCGCCGGTATTTCACAAATGAGTCTTGTTAGTTGGATTTCCTATTTGTCATATCATGATTTAAATAGTTAACATTATTATCTCTTTGAGAATAACAGCAAGAAAAGTTGTAATAAATGTCATCTTTAACTATTATTGAGTGATACATATACGTTCAAAACTGGATGAAAAACATCATTATTATTGCTATGTCTGAGATCATGGCCAGTAGCAGGCCAGTAGCATCAGTGTATGAAATGTCATTTATCTAGATTCAATCAATTTTGAGAAAACTTTCCCCCCATTTCCAACAGTATGCAAAAGCAAGGAACAAGGGCCATCATTCTGTAAAACATTAATTCAAGCCATCAAATATTCAAACTCTTTTGAGGTATGATCACTAGCATCTTATAACTTACATTGTTTAGCAGCTAACTTTGTTCCCATTCAGAAATGAACAGATGGACAATCTCTCTTCCTATATCTCCCGGCCTACTTCCTGGTTCTCTTAATAAGGCATACTGAATCGCATCATAGTACTATGGGAACTCGTTGGGCCCTCACCTAACTCTGTCTTCTTAATACATGTATTTGGAAAATAATCTTCTTGAACTTCATAGATCTGATGTTCACAAACCTCTGCCATAGATTGAATGAAATGTGCTGCTACTCACATACTACTGTTGTAGATTGTAAAGTATTGATACATAATACTGTCATAGAGCAACTCAAGTACTGATACTCACAAACATCTGTTATAGATTATATGAAGAACTGGTACTCATATAATACTGTTGTAGATTGACTCAAGTACTGATACATAATACTGAGCATTAAATCAAATACTGGCACTCACATAATACTGTTATAGATTAATTCAAGTACTGATCCTCAAAAATCTCTGTTATAGATTAGATGAAGTACTGGTATTCACATAATACCGTTGTAGATTAATTCAAGTACTGATACACACAAATTACTGATATAGATTAGATGAAGGACTGGTACTCACATAATACTGTTGTAGATTAATTCAAGTACTAATACTCAAAAAACTCTGTTATGGATTGAATGAAGAAGTGGTACTCATATAATACTGTTGAAGATTAACTCAAGTACTGATATATAATACTATTGTAGAGTAAATCAAGTACTCATACATAATACTGTGCAGATTAAATTAATGATTGGTACTACATAATACTGTTGTAGAGTAACTCAAATACTGATACATAATACTGCCATTAAATTATAGATTAGATCAAGTATTGGTACTCAAGTACATAATACTGTTGTAGATAAATTGGTACTCACAGTACTGTTGTAGATAAACTCAAGTACTAATACTCACAAACCTCTGTTATGGATTGGATAAAGAAGTGGTACTCATATAATACTGTTGAAGATTAACTCAAGTACTGATACGTAATACTGTTGTAGAGTAACTTAAGTACTGATACTCACAAACCTCTATCATAGATTAGATGAAGTATTGGTACTCACATAATACTGTTGTAAAGTAAATCAAGTACTGATACATAATACTGTGCATCAAATTAAATACTGGTACTAATACTGTTGTAGTAATACTGTTGTAAAATCAGTAAATACAAGTAATGATACATAATACTGTGCATCAAATTAAATACTGGTACTCACATAATACTGTTGTAAAGTAAATCAAGTACTGATACATAATACTGTGCATCAAATTAAATACTGGTACTCACATAATACTGTTGTAAAGTAAATCAAGTACTGATACATAATACTGTGCATCAAATTAAATACTGGTACTCACATAATACTGTTGTAAAGTAAATCAATTACTGATACTGAATTAATACTGTGCATCAAATTAAATACTGGTACTCACATAATACTGTTGTAAAGTAAATCAAGTACTGATACATAATACTGTGCATCAAATTAAATACTGGTACTCACATAATACTGTTGTGGAATCAAGTGGAGCGAGAATCAGGCGGCCGGTAGTTGAGGTATGTCACACTAGGGAAGACCAGTACATCTTGTACATCCCCCAGCTCCCACCTGCTGTAACACACAAAACACACATACATGAAATATATGTTGGAATATTTCTGTCTCTGCATGAGCAAACTGTCACAACATCGTGAGCTTTCACACAACTGTGTGGCCATGGAGTCTGTGATGCTTCCAGTGTCAGCTGCATCAGTTACTCAACAGAACCACTTCCTGCGTAAAAACAGCTGACAGAAAGCTCAGGGTATTCTTGAACCTCTCTAATGAGAGTGAAATATTCTTAGCTTTTTATCACTCTTTCGTTGAACTCAATACCGTCAACTTTTTTCACAGAAATTCTGGACATTACATTATCATCACACAAACACAAGTCAGGTCTACCCCCAACCATGCAATCAATGATTAAGAAGATTATTAAAGTCTCTGAATGGCATTTAGACGTGATACACACTTCAGGTGGATGAAGGAGAAAAATATACTATGAAACATCGTGTTTATTTTGAGGAACATCATGTTTCATAAAATAAACAACTTGACATCCATAAATGTTTGCCTCTAAAAAGACTATTGTTCATAACAATGATTACATTGGTCAAAATTAAGGGCGTTTAGTAATATCGGTAAATCGGTTTATTGAGGTTCATTCTCTCAACAATACATATCACAATATTATTTTTTAATGCTAGGTATATCTGTTGTTTTCAAACAGTGATTATCACATTTTAAATGATATACACCAGCCAAACACTGTCGAAATGTTCCTGTAATTCCAAATGGAAGTGAATTTTCAGTTCTCCCTTTTGTAAATGCGCATTCCAATACTTCCGTCAACAACATCCTGTCTTAAAGATGGCGACTTCATCGGTCGTTATCACCTGCATCTTGTTTTGTTCTATTTATGAACGTCAATTCATGCAAAGATGTTTCTGATTACTTCTGAATTAAAAATTTGGAATTATACAATATATCATGATGTGTATAGCAATACGGAAATGTGTATCGCAATATATTGTGCTTTGAGTGGGGTGACCTGGATGACACTAATGAGTGAGTGAGTGATCACAGTTTTACGCCTCTTTAAGCAATATTCCAGCAATATCACATCTGGGGACACCAGAAATGGGCTTCGGACACTGTACCCATGTGGGGAATCAAACCCAGTCTTCAGTGTGGTGAGTGAATATGTTAACCACTAGGCTACCCCACCGCCCTTGAACCACCATTACCCATCCCTAGTCATAACACTGACTTAACAGGTCCCTTGGATTTTGTTTTCTAATACAATAAGTTTCAAGTGGAGTGACCTGGATAACAACAGTAATCCTGCACTCAGTAATGTCAGGCAGTTGTGGTAAGACATGATTGAACTGGATTGGGTGATCATTGTGATTTGGTTCACTGTGCGACAACTCCCTGACATTGTGTTGGACTTTGCTCATAACATGAACCATTGGCTTGCTGGCCCAGATTTGACATACTGAATACTTCCAATTAATGCGTAAATCAACAAACTTCTCATATTGATCAATATATTAATGTATATACAGATTGTCATCAAAGAAAGAAAGGATTTTTAAAAGTTGGTATAATAAGAATAATATTGTATGAAACACTGAATAGATGATGGAAATGTCCAATGACATCCGTCTCATCAGCTAGATGTTGACTGCAGATAATGCTTGGATTGTACAACCATAATACTGAATATATTTCATGAACATCATTATCATTAATGTACAGAGATGAAAGAACGCACATGTACTTGATTACACTTCTCAAAGACATGTATGAACTAGATCTGCAATAAAATGATGTAATATTTATAAGGAAGACTTTCACTATGATATGACTGGACATAAACGTTCAAGATGCACTATCTCACATCAATCAATAAGTCAAAATAGTTCATGAGATAACTTGTCAAACCACAGCATTTTCCATGATGAGCATCTGTGAGAAATCCCCACATCTTTGAGATGCTAACTTCATGCTGATAGCAAAGACTGACAGATTACTGTGCTTAAATTTCCATGACGTACATTTCAAGGAAATGTCAGACGTTTTGTAATAATGTGCGAACACAGAAGAAACAGATCATGATGATCTGTCGTGAGAAAGAAATGGTTGAATGTTGAGTACCCTCTACCTGGCAGTTATATCCTGGTGTGGTCACATGGCAGTACATACTGAGCATGTTAGGAGCACATGTGAGGGCCATTACCGGCAACACTTGAATGCACAATAATGTCACATGTGCTATTTACCATAGCAACTTGCAGTTAACAACATTAGCTTGACAGCAGGGTGGCATATGAATCAAGAAAAGGAAAAGAAATATTTGCTACACATGATTTTTCTGTATTTGCAAGACAACTGTGTTGGGTTTCTTTCTCTCTCTTGAGAAATATGTCTGCAAAATCTATGGAGACACAATGGGTTTCAAGGATTGCACCTTTTGTGGGGAATTGTTCTTATCTCTTCTGCATGCATGGATTGGCTGCAAGACTTTTGATTTGGAAGGCTAAACGTTTTTTCCTTTAATCAATTCATGTTGCATACACCTAAGTTAGAAATGAGCTGTGTACCAGTTAAACTTTGCCCATGTGGTCTATCCTAGTGTATCTAGTAGAGAATTTAACCTCTGCGTTACTGCACTGAGGAATTTAACCTGAAGTGAATTTGCCATGTTGGCTAAAACCAGGAACACTTACTGGCCATTTAATGATCATGAACATGCACTCACTTATCATTCTCAGTAGCAATAAAATGTTAGAATTACATTTTCCAATATGTATCGTGATGGATAACAGATTGTGTATCACCAATATGTATCATGATGGATAACAGATTTTATCATCTAATGGAGGGTGTTATCGGTGCAATAAAGCAATCTGATAAACTTGGTATCCAAATCTGATAACTATGCAAACTAGGTCAATCCATGAACTACTTTCATAAAACTCCATACACGCCATGCGAATCCTAAAACGTTAATATTTCATTGATGACGTCGTCGCGAGTTTACAATGTTTGTAAACAAACATGGCTGCCCCCATTCTCAAAATTGGTGATTCTGTAAGAATTGATGACCGAGGTTCTGGAGTCGTTACTGCAGTAATTGACTTTGGAAAACATGAAACGGAGTACTTCGTTCAAATAGAAGGTACGGATTATGAGGTACGACTGAAAGGCAATCGTCTCAGAAAGGTACCAACCAAGGATTTCGATCTATTGATCACAATACTGATGACAAATCCATTCCGTCAGGTATCAGAAACTGATATTGATGAGGTGATTACCCGCAGTGAAAATAGAAACACTGCCAAGAAAACCCTGCCCGATTTTGTTTTTCTTTTTTAGACAGAGAGATCTTAAGCATGAGTTATGTTTGCACTGTATTAGCGACTAGTCACAACTATATGCTGCCGTCATGAATGACCTTCACCTTGGTGTACCGCTAAGTATTCTTACGCGAATGCTCGATTCTCTTCATATAAATTCACGTACGATTTGCTTCTATTTTAAGAATGTCATTATATGATAAAGAGATTAATAACCGAGTGTGTTTCCGTATCATTATGTATTATGCTTGCCAAGGGCTCGCATAATACAATTTTTATTCCTAATATATGATATTAATGACACGGAAACACACTCAGTTAATAATCTCTATGTGTATCACCAATATATATTGTGATGGATAACAGATTGTGTATCACAAATAACTAACTTAACCACTGAAACACATTAGGTTCAATATTATTGCTATTGTGAAACATTTAATTTTCTGCTGGGCTGAACTGTCAGAGCAATTCTCTACATTGCACTAGTCCTTTAAATAATCTTCAGGATACTGGACTAAAGCTGTTTGTTTGATTTATTTCTTCAGAATTCCAATTATGTAACTTCAGCCTTCAACCAACTGAGTGAATGCTGTAATCGCTTGGTTACCCATGCACCACTACTGGTGGGAAGGAAGATAGCATTTATACTTATTCCAGTTAAACTTCATCTGACAAACATCCTGAAACCATACACCAACTATATGAAATGATAAGTAAAACTGTCATTTAATAGGAAACAGGCATAACTTCTCAACAAGACCCTTTGATCATGAGTGAGTGAGTTAGGTTTAACGCCACTTCCGGTTATTCATCATTCCGATTACATATCATAACTGTTCTGGGGCGTTGGGGTAGCCTCGTGGTTAAAGCGTTGGCTCGTCACGCCGAAGCCCCGGGTTTGATTCCTGAAATGGGTACAATGTGTGAAGCCCATTTCTGGTGTTACCCGCCGTGATATTGCTGGAATATTGCTAAAAGTGACGTAAAACCAAACTCACTCACTCATAACTGTTGTATATCATAACTTGTCAGCTGCGGGGATAAATTAAGCGTAAAGTGATACAGAGCTTCTGATGTTTATCACTTTGGTGAAACCCAAAGGTTCAGTGGTATGGTGCTGACAAACCTGGCAACATAATCCAGCCCAACAGGAACTTGAACCAAACTTCAAAAGCACACCCTGCACAGTGAACTGTAGTGCCTTTTATCACTGGGGCACCTCAGCCACTCTTTAAGCATGAAAAATGTAAAATATTCATAAATGAATTTCGCATGTTTATTTTCCAATAAGGGTGGTGGGGTAGCCTAGTGGTTAAAGTGTTCGTCTATCATACCGAAGGCCTAGGTTCAATTTCCCACATGGGTACTAAGCCCATTTCTGGTGTCCCTCGCCATAATATTGCTGGAATATTGCTAAAGTGACATATAACTCAACTCACTCACTCACTCACTCAATCCTTGACAAATATAATAACTCATAGTCTGTTCCTATTCCTCCATTGTGGCATGGTAACCAGTTAATCAGTAACAATTTCATCTATTGTCATAGCAACAGGCTGACAGTTGATAGTTGCCACACATGTCCATAGTTTGATAATTTCACCACGTAAAGAAAGCAGGCAACACACATAGCAACAAATCAATTTTCACATAATGGAGTATCTCCTACCACAAAAGTCTCACTTTTTCTTGCAAGAACCATGTCAT